AAAGAAAGAAAGAAAGAAAGAAAGAAAGAAAGAAAGAAAGAAAGAAAGAAAGAAAGAAAAGAAAGAAACAACCACACACTTTTAATTTCCTCATTTCTATGCCAGCGAGGAAAATATTTCTCCAGTCGCTGGAGGCAGCTACTAAAAATGGGCCTGGCCATGTATTGCCTCAAAATAGGGAGCCTCGCTCCCAGGTTAAACCAGGGTGACGGTTCCAGTCGTGGTGGGGCAGCCCCTGGGACAGCATCTGTCAAGGTGCAGCTTGGTTTGTCCTCCCACCTCCCTTTTTTGGTGCCTCACAAGACTTTGTTGTAGACAACTTTATATCCTGCTGGAACCAGGGACAGAGGAGGAGGAGGGACAGGGCGGGCAGTTTGGGTTTCCTCCCCACTAACCAAAATAGGGTGCCCCCCACCCAAAGGTGCACTCAGAGGGCCAGGAAATACCCCCAAAGGTGGAGTTTCCACCACCCGCCTGGGAGATGGAGGAACTGGGGTGCGGGATGCCTGGGAGACAGAGGAATTTGGAGAGGATGATGCTGGATCCAGGGGAAGGATGCTTCTAGATCCATGAGGAGGATGGTCCTGCATCCAGGGGGATCTGCACTGACCACCCACCACCCTCCTCCCCACTGACTGCCTGCCAGTGATGTTCAGAGCCTCTTGGGTTTTGTTTTACAGCAGCTGAGGGAATTCTGGAGCAACAGCCATTGAATCCCTGCTGAAATTCCTATAGGTTTTTATCTATTTGAACATAAAAGCATCCCTTTCACGAGGGAGCAGGGGGTGAAAAAAGGACTTTTTCACCTGGCATTTGTGCTTGCATTGGTGAAGACCACTTAACAACCAGCCCGTTGCCACTTATAAAGAGTTAGTTAATTGCCAGAGCATTTAAGAAAAAAAAAAAGGGAAAAAAAAATAGCAAACTGCCCTGGCGATGAATGAACAGGCCTTTATGGAGGGCTGGAAGTTCATGAATGAATCCCACTAGGTTTTTCAATGACACGGGGTGACCAGACCTCAAGGACGAATCTTAGGTAATCCGGGATATATTTTTTTTTTTTAAGGAGCTGATGCCAGCACACAGTATAAATATGCCAGAGCCTCTTCCGTTTGCGGGCTTCGGCTGTTGACTGGATGTCTAGCCAAAAAGCCATGAGAATATAAGGGCTGAGCTCGGATAAACAGGCTCAGGCCTCCTTGCCAGCCGCCACCAAAGCTGCTTTTCACAGTTGCTGGGACCCCATCAGAGCCTCCTCACTCCCACCCACCTCCCCAGCTCTGGCATCCGCCAGGAAAAGGGGTGGGAAACGCCAGTGGCATCACCCAGGCAGGAGAAAAGGAAAAAATGACTCAGAGATGCTTCCTACAGTGACAGACTTTTCTTTTTTTTTCCCCTTAAAGGGTTTTTTTGGTGGCAATGATGTGTGCAAATGAAGTAAATAGAAGGATTTTGCCCAAAAATGCAGTTCATCCCGTGGAACCTGGGGTCATGGCAGGGACCCACCATCCAACTCGCATCTCTGCTTTCTGCCAACTCACACAAAAACCCAGATCCCAGGAAATTCACAGCCGCATCATCCTCAAGACACCCTCGTGTGTGACAGCCCACAAACGGCTGCAAACGCTTTGGGATCCCTGTTTTGAGTTAAAAGCATGGTTTTTACGAGCAACTCGGAGCAAACACATCCCTTTCTAAATGCCTGGAAAACTCCCAGCAAACCGGGAGTGTTCCCATATTCCAGCAAACAATGATAATGTTTAATGCTATAAACATCCGCGCTATTATTTCGTTATTAAGCACCCCTCCATTTGCTGCTATCAACTGGGTTTATTAGGATTTTCCATGGTTCCCACTGCAGCCTGTCTCGGGGCTCTGCCAGGCTCCCCCCACCCCACCCCAGCGCGTTGTGCAAGCTTATTGTGCAAAAATAATAGTATAGAAATAATTGAAAATGAAGTGAGTCCGCCCTTGGGAATTTAGGGAATTAGTTTTATTGATCAACTCATAGTTGGGTAGACGGGGAACAACCACCCACAACAGTTCCTCGCAGAGGGGGGATGTCAAGGCAGTAACTTGATACCCCAAAGTCCTTAGGGTGACATTTTTTGTAATTCTGATGCAGACGGTTCATCACCAGTGATGCCCCAGCACAACCACGTTATACAGTATTTCAATCCCACTGGAAAACTTTTTTTTCCCGTATTTTTCACACCTCCCTGAATTTTCCTGAGGGGCTGCCCTGACTTTGCCAACGCAACCTTTGTCCTCCATAAAAGCACCATCCCAGCTACTTTCCAACATGCCAATCAGCACAAGAGGCTGTGAGGTTCCCCACCACTTGCCTTGACCCTCAGGGACACCAAATCCTGCCCAAAATTGCTCAATAAGAGACCACAGCCAGCATACCTCTACACTGGGGGTGTGCCCATGCCGCCTGTGGGCTCAGGGCATCATCCTACTCCAGGCAGGGATGCTGCTGAAAACGCTTCATCCATACAGAAACCCTGGAGGACTGGATACCAAAGCAATAACTCCAAAAAACTAACAGCTGCTGAAACCAATGGGGTCCAGAGGACGGTGAGTACGGGAGATTCACACCATGGAAACACCCGAGTTTAACAGAAATGCCCCACACTTGGTTCTTCCAAGCCATGGCAGGAGGACTCATATCTCCCATCACTTGGAAGTGGTAGGAAATTTCTGGTGTGGCTTTTCTCCCCATCACATGAACACTTCTAAGATGATGAAACCATGTCATCCGCAGTTTTTCTTTCCAAGCTCCAGCAGTTTTATTAGGCATTTGGGAAGAAAAAGTGGTCTGGGTTTTTTTTTTTAATTCCCAAAGAACCAAAGCATTTTAGCAAAACCGAATTTAAAAAATAATAGCAATAAACTAAAACAACGTAGCTCCTGTCCACCTTTTGGATCTCAGCCTTGTGCCAGGGCCAAGTTCATGGACAAGGAGGGGAGGTGGGCTGGGGATCCTTTGTTTGTGTTTTGTTTTGTTCTGTTTTGACATAGGTAAAAGTTTTCCTGCAATCAACGGACTTTGAAAGAAAACAGCAAGTTTAGCACACACTGAGCTATCTCACCCACCAGGACTGCCCCCAGCAGATCACATCAAGAGCTGTCAAAATCGTCACCAGTATCTGCAAAAATAACAACTCACTGCTGAAAATGGGAATAAAACGGTGTTTCTGATGAGGTTTTTAAATGCCTGTAACTGGATCTTTCATCAATGATATTAGGATTAGAGGCCAATAAAATTATCCAACTGTAGAGTTGTTTCAAACTACGTATGAATGCTTTTTCTAATATATATATATATACATATATACTTATATATTTATTTTTTGAAAGGGCAGTTTTGATCCCGAGCATCTTCTCACGCTCTTCCTAAACTACTCACCATCTCACCCCCTCCTCTCCCTCATTCCTCTGTGATCCCTGGGTCTGGCTTCCCCATCAAACATCAACCCTAACGCAACACTCACCATGGTAGCATCTACCCTGAACTGCTAACAAAAGTCTTCTCATTTTCACAGAATCACAGAATGGTTTGGGTTGAACAGGACTTTTAAAGACCATCTCATTCCAGCCTCCTGACATGGGCAGAGACACCTTCCACTAGACATGGTTGCTCCAAGCCACGTCCAACCTGGACTTCAACACTTCCA